TATATATATTTGGAGTGGCATGACTAGCAAATCTTTTCTAAATCGGGCATAATATTTTTATATCGTATGTTTGTTTACCTTCGACATAACCTGTATTGAAATAAGTGTATAGCCAATGGCACAGTTTGTAAAATTACTTACTCAGAGTATAGTCTCCTTCATCGATGACTGTCTCACGCTTGACTGGTAGGTTTGGGGGTTGGGGAGGGGGAGATAGAGAGAAAAGTTTTGGGGGGGGGGATGTTCATGTTATCGACATCAGAGAATAATATTGTAACGTGCGGTCATGGGTGTTTGCTTTTGTTTGATAATGTATAAATTAACCGTCGCCCACCTCCTACACCTCTTCCCCCTCCTCCTCCTCGTCAATACTCCTTCCTCCTCATCCTTCTTCTCCTCCTTCCATTTCCTCCATCCCCATTCTCCATCTCCTTACTCCGTCCTCCTCTTACTCTCCTCTTACTCCGCTTTCTCCTCCTTCTTATTCTCCTCCTCCTCCTCCTCCTCCTCCTCTTCCTCTTCCACTACCACCACCACCTCTTTCTTACTCCAAACATACATACGAGTAGTATAAAATCGAGATACTCACCAATACTTGCATTGGCTGCTGCCTGATGAAGAGAATAAAAACAGGCTGTTAGATAAATTGATAAGCTTTTGGTTCTGCACAAGAGTCTGTCAAAATCTCCTTTTTGCACTTTTTTGGTGTTTTTACGAGATGTCAACCCATTTTCTTTTCAAACGCATTCCTTTACTATCTTAGATTTGAACTTAGTTTCAAGTTATAGAAATAAGTGTGGAGGTTTGTGTTTCTGTGTGTATTTGTGTGTCTGTGTATTTAGTGTGTGTTTGTGTATGTATAATATGTGTGTGTGTTTGTGTGTGTGATTGTGTGTTTGTTTGTGTATGTGTCTCTGTACACGTGTGTGTATGTGTATGTGTGTGTGTTTGTTTGTGTGTGTGTGTTTGTGTGTGTGTGTGTGTGTGTGTGTGTGTATGTGTGTGTATGTGTTAAAGGTGTGACGCTGAGAGAATTGTTCTCCTAGAGCCCATCATCTTTCGCCACAATAAATAGCAACAGGAGGAGGCTTACTTAAGAGTTCATTGGATTTATAAAATAAGAACTAACATTTACAAGTGTTTCGCTGTTTCAGTTTTACACAGAAGCGTAACATCAGCCTTAAATGATTTATTATAAAATATTAAGTTGAACGTACCAAAGCGAACAGAACGACGCACAGCGGTTTGATCATGGCGTAAGTTTTGTGTTGTTAATTCTAAGTTAGAAACACAAAAATTATCTCTATCTTCCTTCACTTGGGCGAGTGTCGTTGTCTGTCTCAATGTCTCACTCCCCAATGCGTGAGGTGCTGCTTGAGTAGATTTCACAGATGCAGGCTGGGCAGTTCTCGTCCGTTTTATACACATACGCTAATAACGGTTAATCGGTCGGTGCATAATTAATGAAGTATAACCCAGACACCTGAGATCAATCAGTGGAGACAATTAAGTTGTATTGCTGGAATTCGTGAACAGGGAGCTGACATAATATGTGTCACGACGTGGTGGAATCATGCGCTGAGCAATTTTTGGGTGAATGGGGTCATAGATATATATTTGAAGCCTGTTTATTTTTCTTGTTTTTGATTGGGGGGGGGGGGTGGGGGAAAGCCCCTCTAGCTTAAACAGAAGTCAATATATTTCTATTGAAAGAGGTGGGGGTAACCTGGTGTCAGAGGCAAACTTAGTAAGAAAATGGGCGCCAATTTTTGGTAACTTCAAAGCTTAATTGTTCTTGGAAAATATAAATTTATATTTTATGTGCCTTTGATCAATGTTTTCAATAAAATCTTCTCAGAAATTTGTTTTTAAATAGACGGAAATGGTGTTGAGTCCAAAACAAGACAAAACAACAAGAACAACAACAACAAAAAAACAGCAACGAAAACCCCACATAAACATTGGACAAAGGGAGGGAAATTGTCAGTTTCTTCGATTTCCTTATTTTGACGAGCGCCTGAATCCACCGTATTGTAGCAATGGTAATTACGCGTTGGCACGGCTGAGAGAATGACCTCGGTGTAAGTTAGCCGTGAGTCAACGTTTATGCGAGTACAGAACTGCACGGGCATTGGAGCAATTACATGGCTTTGATCTGTCCGGGTAGGGAAGGAGAATGTAGGGAGTGGGCTCTCTTGATGGGAATTTGTGAGTTTTGTCACGTTACGTAAGTTGCAACAATAATTACACAAACCTATTTAAGTAGGATTGTTTTATTGTATTATGAGAGTGGTGTTTGATTCACTCTCTAGATTCATTATTATTTTTTTGTTTTGTTACAATTACTTTTGTTTTTTCGCTGTTCTTTCCATTTTTGTTTTGTGTGTCAGCATATGTACTTTTATTTTATAATGGTTACTGAAAATATAATGAGCAAGAGCAATTACTTTTCTTTGAAGAATAATGATTATTCGTGCGTCAGATGTGAGCATACTTGTCTTTTGTTCAGCCTGGTCTGCACGTCACGACCCCTCAACTTATAACGCCTACCCATCCTGAACACGACTTATCCAAAGCCCTGTGGTTTCTACATAGCCTTCCAAAAGTACAGGGGATACACAAATTAAGTCTCTACATTGCAAAAGTATTTTTGTCCACAGGTAACAGGTTTGGTAATCCTTTGTTTTTCCCTCATCAAAAAGACCAGCTTAATCTAGGTTTACATTATTTGTGGCGTCGGTGGCCTAGTAGTTAGGCTCTCGGACTTGCACTCGTAAGGTCTTAGGGTCAAATCCGGTCAGGGACCCAACACTGTGTCCTTGGGAAAGGCACTTTACACGAGGTATCCAGCTATAGACAGCGGAAGATCTTGTCAGTTTGTAAGAGACTGAGGGCTTGCAATCTGCAGCTTGCACTGCTATGTCTTTCGGGAAGCCGAACATGTTTTTGAGTATTCTAGAGTCTGCCGGGGGGGGGGGGGTAATAATAATCGAATAGCAACATACAGATTATGCCGTAGAGCGTGAATTATTATTATCATTATTGTTAATAAGTTTGCAACTAACTTCATGTCGTTGCCAAGTTTTTCCTCTTCGTTTCTTTGCTTGTTTAATCGCTTTTTTTAGGTTAACCACGGAATGGAAGGATACAAATGTACAGGGTGATAAAGAAACACAAAACAACTAAACTCCTTTCTTTTTGTTTATATTAATTTCCGCCATACTGAAGTCTTAAGTTTCAAATTTGTACACAACATTTGAGAGTCAAAGAGAATTTTTCTGATATTCATTTTAGATAAATCCACAGAATAGTTTTCCCTCTACATAGCACGTAAAAAAACAACAACCCATTTTCAGCTGTGTCCCCATTTTTGTAGCAAGACACACTAGTTCACATCAGGCCGACCACTAAAAATCGCAACGAATGGGACATACTGGGGGCTACAGTAGTTTAGCAGGCCAACAAAAGTTTACAGATAGTTTTTGTCAAGTTTCCTTTGGATGTTGAGGACATGGTAAAGATTAGTAAAGAGCATGGAGTTTCGGGTGTTGAAAATTTCCTCACCTCCAACTCATTTCGTAAGTTTCGCACAAGGTGCAGAATTAATGTTAAAGTGTCCTTTAGGCCTCATTGATGAAAATGGTCCATCTGTTAGGACCTGTAGAGAACCAGAACTAAACATTTCCAGACAAAATGACCACTAAATGTCAAACACACACCGTTCGAAACCCTTTAAACGTCCCCAGCGTGCAGCATTCAGTAAATGGGCCCCATGAGGCGTCTGTCCGTCCGTAGACAACGTCCTTAGGTTGGACTTTCCTACATCTCAACAGTCTGCATTATCAAGGTAGACCTTCACCTACGACTGTGCTATGCTCCTGTTCGCGAAGCTGACATGAATCACATGATAACAATGTGTTCATGATTCCTCCACAGTATTGAAAAGCGTGAACATTTCCCTCCATGGCATTTGTTTTCTTGGCAAAGCCCATGTTAATCTTTCAGGATAAGTCAACTCCTCATTATGCTGTCTATTTGGGCAACCTCACCCATACCCCTTTTGTGTCTAGATACAACTCCATAATGTAAGGTATACAGTGTGAATGGCTTTGAGTATTCATGTTTGGGTAGATCCTTGTGTTTGGCCACCACTGAACATTACGAACAACGAGTTAAAATTTGTCGAGTCCAAAGAAGGACATATAGAGCACTGGTTCTCGAAATTCCAGAATTTTATAATAAGTTTCCTTTTGGATGAATTATATCTGTTCCAAATTACAACATTCTAGATCACATTGTGTCCGAGATATTTAGAGAAAAAAAAGTTGTATAGGCTCATTTTTGACCACCCTGTATATTATATCTAGATAAAACAAATATTGAAGTGCGTCAGATTCTCCAAACAAGACAAAACATGTTTTAAAAACAACGGAATGTGCTCAAATACAAAACTTTGGTCAAATAAAACGACATCAGACCAGTCTGAAGGAAATCTCGATAGCCAGAGGTGGAGCACAACAGCAAAAGATGGAAAACGCACAATGTGGTCCGTCAACATCAAAGTTAGGATTGGTTTCAATACATTGACGACTCAAAAAAAAAACCCAACAACCCAACTTGATAAAGTAATCACTCACTCATGAAGCATACCAATTTAAATCTTAATAAATCATGTATCACTATGTTAATAGTTCTAGTCGCCTGATATATGATCGATCTAAATTGACTTTTAAATGTTCAACATTGAGTTTCAACTGTTCGATTGTTTGTGGCTTGTTTTCGCCGACTCTGTTTGCCAAAAAACCCTCAAAGTTAATAATTTAAAGATCCCAGGTTTGGAGGAATGTGGTGACTATTTATTTGGAAACATTCGGCAATAAGAAGCGTTCTCTAATCCTGTCTTACAACAACACAGGGGCCTCTCTTGACATTTGGGGTGTAGCCCCTTCCCTCTAGAAACAGGACTCAACAGAATAATAACTTTTCCTCTCCGAACTTCTGCAAAACTTTCTCAGCACGGTGAGATTCCACGTTCTGAAACCAAAATGGGTCGATGACACCGCTATAGCTGAACGAAAAGGGACATTTTTTGCGACTTACCCAAATTTGGTTGAACATTTTAAAATGTGATATTTCACGGAATCGTTTACGAATTTTCTTCATACTAAAAAAAAAAAAGGATTTCCCTCAGGTTGAACTGTTTTTGTAGGAAATTTGGTTAAAATGAGTACTCTAATGGCCGAGTTATTGCTCTTTTTATTTTGGCCGAAGAAGCCTAAAGCTATCAATTTTGGACCACCAGGGGATCTTTAACGAGCGCAACTTGCACAATCATGAGACCTACGAGAATTTTCGCCTTCTCGGATAAAAGCGGTTAGATGTTATATGTACATGAAAATCTAGCTTAATGTTAACAAGTTTGTTCATTTTGTACTTTCACATTATCAGACTTGTGATTGTGAGCCTGTTTGTGAGTGCAAGCATACTATTACAATTAGTATGATGCTTATATATAAAGATGTCTGTGGAGGAGAACGTGTGTGAGAGTGTATGTCTATTGATGCGCGCCCACATGTGTGTGTGAGTTAGTGTGTGTGTGTGTGTGTGTGTGTGTGTGTGTGTTAGTGTGTGTATTTGTGTGTGCATACATACATACATACATACATACATACACACACACACACACACACACACACACACACACACACACACACACACACACACACACACACATATGCATCTACCTCCAATTCAACAAACAATTATAATAATAATAAATGACATTTATGTAGAGCTTAATAGTGATTAATCTTTTAAAAGAACACCACCCTTCTAAGCATATATAATATATATTATTAAGTCTTATTTAAAGTACAACTGAACGCATAATTAACTCTGTAATAATCAGTGTTCCTTTCATGTTATATGGCATTAAAAAGCAACAAGACAAAGGTAAATAAATTCAAATTATATATGAATACTCTGGCATAAAGTTAGTCCTGGCATAAAGTTAGGGTGGGGCTATGCTAAGCAAATTTTCGGAACGAACGTTAAAAGAATAAAGAAGTAGATTACAGTAAATGTGAGTCTCCGTGGTCGAATAGAGCTCACGTCAATTTTTGAGCATATAGAGGTTTTGTTATATTCTTAAAACTAGTTTATTTCCCCTGCTTTTGATGAAAACAAATATCCATCCATCTTAAATTGAAGTCCAGATATTTGCAATTGAAGGAGGTGGGGTTGCCTGCTGTCAAAGGTAAAATTATTAAGAAAATAGCCGCCAAAGATTGATACGTCCCATAGCTTGAATGTCCTTCGAAATGCAAATTTACAACTTGTGTTGTTTTAATCAAAGGTTTTCAGCAAGAGTAATACTGAAATGTCTATTTAGATGGACTT